CGGTCTTGGCTGTTTTCGCAGTAGCCGGAACGAAACAGCTCAGCTGATGGGTATCCGGGTTTTTAGCGCTCGCCAGCACCAGTTGTTATCTCCAAAGACCTGCTCAAGCTAGCGGGGGTCCACGGATGGACGGGTAACGGTGAACACCAACACCAACCCAACACCCTCTTTGTTGCCCACGGGCATACACACACACACACACACACACACAGAGAGAGAGAGAGAGACCAATCTCTCGGTATATTGAGAAGCTGATCTGTCCATCCTGCTCCAGGACAAAACCAGTCGCACAACCTTCCGCTGGCAAGCTTGCGCACAGGCTCGGCTTCCCCCATCTCGTTTCTCCACACGGCCGACCGGAATAAGAGAGAGATAACAGGAGCCGCTAGCTAGCTGCCGGACCGGGAGAGAGCACTGGGGAGGAAGACAAGGTTCTTTTCTTTTCTTTCTTTTCGTTTTCTCGTCTCCTTCTTCCTGCCTCGCCACGCTTCTTGGCCATTGACGCTTGTCCTCGGCACGGAGGGATGCCACACTTTGAACTGTCCACACCATGATATGGATCCTTTCGTCATGGTGCTCCACTTCCACCTCTAAAGGAGCCGGCACCGTGTTCCGCTAGGACCAGGTACCTGCATCGGCCCTCTAGAAAGACCACGAGATCAAAGAGCACTGAGCAAAAGGAAGAAAAAGGAGGGGCGGGTGTTTGACCGGAATGGAACTCCCCATAACAACCAATGGAGGCGCCCTTGATCACTCTTGCTTTCTGTCTTGTTCTTTCCGTTGCTCATTTTCATATTCTCTAGGTCAAATAGAAAATTCAAAAGGGGTAATAAGGATGAACCGGAAAGAATACTTGTATGTCGACAGCACAAACGCAACCTCGCTTTGGTCGGGACGGCTGGGCTCACAAGATGCGAGATACAGACGGGGAAGAGCCACGGATACCAGTCGGCGCTTCTCGTCCACTAGTTTACACGGATACGCCCATCATGGATTGGCGGACACAGTTGAGGGTGGGTGTGTGGGTGGGCGGGTTGAAGTGGGCGGCTGCTGCTGCCTTCGCATGGGGCGGCCATCTTTCCAGTCCTAAGGTGGGGGATCTCACGCCCCCGAGTACGCGAAAAAAAGAAAATAAAAAAAGGAAAGAAACAAAAAGACAGTTGCTCCCTATCTTCTTACGCTAGAGAAAGGCACACATACCTGTTTCCACTTTTGAGAGGGGCAGGGTGTTACAATAGCGGCTCGATCGGTTGTGAATACGGAGGAAGGGGGACTCGGAGGCGATTAGGCGACGATCGCGCATAGAAAATGGGACGAGGAAACTGAAAACGAACAAAAATAAGATACATGTAAAAAAATAAAACAGTAAAGCTGCGAGAAGGACTCGGAGACGGAGTCGAGTCCCTTGGCAGGACTGGGAGTCGATCACTCAAACGGCTCTGGGACCAGCAGTGCCGAGGAAACGGGCTGGCTGTGGATCAATCAACGTGGAACGACGCAAATGGGCGTTTTTCGCAAGTTGGGCACAGGTCAAAGGAAAAAAAGAAAACACGAGGGCTTTGCGGGACCGCAGCAAGTAGGACTGACAAACGAAAAAGTGGTTTCAAACGAAAAAGGGCCCTGAGTTCTGTTGACAGCTTTTGGCAGCGCACACTCGATTCTGGGGTTTGGTTCCAGAATCCGAAGTCCGGACGGCAGTAAGACCCTGCCAAGCCATTGTTCGTCTATCCCCCGGAGAATCGATGCGTCTACTCTACATATGTTAGGCTTGATTTCAGTACAAGCGGGTGCAACGGAGAATTGGTAGGGACTTTGAACGACGCCGAATCAATTCGATTCACTCGCATATTATTGATCCCGAAGTGTTGATTGTGATCGAGTCGCCCCAGCACCCGGCCCGGCACTCGACCTTGGTGGCCAGCCACTGACTTGTACCTGTTCAAGGTTGGCAATGCGCGTTGGAGTCAGAACATTGAACCGAACCAGCGAAGGCGTCACACCAATGACACGCCTTCAACGAGCCACGACTTAACCACACCGAACCCGGGCAGCGGAGAGGGGCCTTGTTTCCGACCTTGCAGCGACAATTGGTTAAGACGCAACGCCAATGCAGTCTCGCAACCTCTCCACGCTTTGCTGCTTATCTGCCGGTATGTACATACCTCATTCGGTCTGGTAGCCAACTTGGGAGCGAGCAGGAACGCCGTAGGGCGAATCCACCGTTGGGCGATCAAAACAAACCAGAAAAGTGTGCGCCTTGATTGCTCCTTGTGCTTGACTGGTCTTGACGTCCTCTAGGCGCCAAGGCTACCCATGCCTATTACCTTGCCTTTGATACAAAAGCATGCTGAGACAACGCGGGCGCGGATGAATTAGTCCGAAGAGAGAGACGAAGGGGAAGAAACAAAAGAAGAAAGTTTTTGTGTGCCGATGTCTTGATTCCCGCCAGGACCCTTCAGGGTGCTGCAAGATCAGATCGTGTGCCAAAGTCAGGATTGCCTTTCTGTCGCTCAAGCCGTCATCATCTCTCATGGCCCGTTTCAAGAAGCAGTTGCCGAGGCCCGGGCGGCGAGGCGACATATCATCGTCATGGCATTATATCTGGGGTGATATTAACGGCGGCGGATCCCATTCTTTTTGCGCTGGCTTGGGCTTGGGGTAATGGCCTGGGCCGTCGGGTTCTTTCAATTGTTGGAGGTTTGCGAACCGCCTCCGCACCATTATTTGAGAAATACAATTTGGGTCTATTGAACCTTGCCCTTGCTCCTTGGCTGGCCAAGCTGGAAATCCAGCTTTCGAACCTGATGCGACAGGGGTCAAGGGTCGAGCCACACCCGAAAAGGCGAGAATGGGCAGGTACCACTCAATAACCTCAATTCGTTCAATGAGAGCGGGGTGCAACGACATGTACGAAGCAGGAGCAAGCAAAGGAAGGCCTGGCAGGCGCGATTCGGTCATCGCATGGTTTGGAACAACGGATGCGCTGGTGCTGGTAGTACCTTCCGCGCAAACCAACCCACCAGAACGGGGAAGCCAGGGCCCCTTCCCCCTTCTCTCCCCCACCACCAAATTGATGCAACGTTGAACGGCGTCATCTCAGCGTGTTGACGCTCACTCTGTGTATTCTCCATTGTCTTCCTCTTTTGTCACTGACCATCTGCCCACCCTTGAAAAAATGGGAGCAGAGCTAGGCTCCAACTCAGAGTGGGGGAGGGGGGAGCCGCAATCCACATTGGTGAACGCTAGACAATCCAGCGTCGCTGGTAGACTTGATGGAGCCAGCACTGGCCTTGGCTAGCCCAGATCTCTTGCTTGGGAGTCCTGGTGAACCTGAAGCTGGCTGACCCACATGCAGGCGCCTGTAAACACCCATCCACCCCACTAATGAGCTACGCCCTGCAGAACGGGTCTTGTCAAAGGCCATCGCATCCCACCCTCTCTCCCTTGACCACTGCACCTTCCTCATTCCCACAATCTACTTCCACCACTTTTATTTTTTTCTTTGTGTCGTCGCTCACCCGTGATTTGATCTCCTTTCATCTCGGAAGATCTGCCATTGTCTCGAATACTCCTCTTGTCTGAGGATCCTCCACCTTCCAATCCCTCCTCCTTGGTCTCAATCGACTCTTGCTCCTGTTCCCACTCGACAGAGGAACTCGGAAAAGCGAAGACAAAAAAGAAAACAACAGCAGCCCCACCTCCCTCGAATCCGACGAGAATTGCCGCCGAGAGAGCACCCGCAGCGCCAAACGCCAAAGGCAAACCCCCTCAGCCCCCAACCCGAAAACGCATCCGAGACGAGTGCAATCGTCAGCTCTTCGCTCTATTGCTTTGTTTTCCCGGCCGAACCCTCGACTCTCCCAAAATCGACAACTTGAGCATGCGGGATCCGCATTAATATCGCCAGCTCTATGTTCGAGACAGCCAACCGGCCCCAGATCAATCAATCAATGCTCTGAGCTGCCCTCAACCAACCCGCTACCCAATCTATCTTTTCTCTTCCTCAAACGACCTTCGCCCCACCATTTACCTAAACGGAGCGAAAAATTACCTTTGCATTCCTGCCGGTTTGCCTTTTTCTTCACTGGTGCCAAGTTGCGCGCCCGTCTTTCGTGAGCAACCCCAGCTCGCGGCGCCCCTCCTCGCACACCACTCCTAGCGACCCTAGCGACAGTCTGGCTGCCTTGTAGAGAGTGTGCGGACATCAGCGGAGGAATTGCAACCCTCTTTCCCTTCCTTCGCCTCTCACCTACGAAGCATTTTCTTCCTTTGTTTTGTGCTTTCCGACTCCCTCTTTGTGATTGCGCATCGCGCCTCGACCTGGAGCAAGAGCCCGTCTGCCTGGTTCACCTTTTTTCTTCTGGCGTGTTTAACCGGCCTCCAGAACCCATTTAAGGCCATTTGACAGCTCTTCTCGCTCTTGTTTATCTTGTCTCGGTTTGCTCGCACGCTCGCTCGAGCCCGGAACTGGTCTGCAAAAGCAAGTTTCGGGTCCCCGGCCTCCGACTCACAAGGTCTTCCTATTCGACGAGCCTCGAAGAGAATCGGTGAGACACTCACGCACGAAGGAGAACCCCTCCTAAAAGCTACTTGATCAAAAGCAACTGGTGGTACCCTCCAAGTCGAAAAGGACGGGACCAACGCCATTCCACACTTGCCAGCCAAGGAAAAGCACAGGCGTGCAGGGAGCGGCTTGCCCATCCACTTTCAAGCTCTCCAGCGTGGACCCATTGTTCCATTTCCCCTCACTCCTCACCTCCGAGACCCCCCTCCCACGCTATCTTTTCAGGAATCCATTTTTAAAGAAGCTCCGCCGCCTTTTCCCAAGGTGAATTGCGAGCAACAATATTCTCATACACCATGCTTGATCCTCAACTAAGAAGAGGGCCGGTTGACTCCGCTGCCGTTTACACCCACTCACGAACCCGAACGACCTCTTCCAACATCTTCCCCCTACTTATCCCGTACAAGGCCCTATACCTGTGCATCCTAGCCACCCCATGTCTCAGCAAACGATGCAATACTCGCGGCGATCGCCGTCTATCAACACCTTCAGCACATCGTCAACCGTGCCTCCCCGCCGCCTATCGTACCTCGCCGACGACCGATATCCGAAGATCGACCTCGTCCCGGTCCGGCGGTGCGAGTCCCAACCCATAAGCTATGTCGCCGCCCTTCGGAGACAAAAGGGAACCGTATGGTGCGATCGTGCGCAACCTCAGGACCCCGCCCTCGCCGCTCAAATGCGTGCCGCCAAGGCCAAGGCAAGCCGTGCCATGCTCGGAACACCGAGGTTGAGTGGGGCTACGCCGGCTCTTCTGGTGGCAGGACGAGCACTGGAATCAGCGCTACGGGCAAGGTTGCGGCCAAGATCAGGCATCATGGCAAGCCCCTCGTTGCCGGCTACGCCACGGGCGAAAACCACGTCGGCGTGGGTGGCGTCCCGCCCAGGCTAAGTGCCACCGAGGTCGAGGGCGAGAGCACCGACGACGACGAGAGCTACAACAAGCTGCATCATCGTAGAACGGGAAGCAGTGGGCGCAACAGCATCGCCAGTGCGGGCCGCAAAGGCCTCGCCTACCGCACATCGGGCGGTCTCGGTAGCCAGAAGAACAGGAGCCCCTCGGACACGCCAGAACGCAGCGGCAGCCTTGCAGAGGATCGACGCGAGGGTGGCCCTGCGGGTGTGCCTGGTCCATCCGGCGGAGTTGGTCCCTCAGATGCCGCTAGCGCCAAATCCCACAGCACGGGCGCCAGCGCCGAGCGGGCAGACAATGTCGCGGATCTCGAACCCGAGCCGGTGTTGGCTAGTAAATCAAGGCAACACTCGGCACTGGTGAAGAGGGGAGCACCAGAAACCCTGCCGATCTCGCTAGAAGAGGCAGTGTCGACGAGAGGACGATGACATTGTCGGCGGGCCGCCTTTACATTGCCAACCCCGATTAAACAACATGCCCTACATCCGTACATCGAATTTCACGACCAATCATATATATGCATTCCATCTTTACGGCCTCTCTTACCTCTTGCCGTACACGCCATTCGCTCTACACATATATTTAGCCACGCGTAGGCTACAACTCACTGACTAGAAAGAAGACATGCTCTCAACTTTCGCGGTGTGTACGCCGATCTGCCCCCGAACTCATTTCCTTTCTCTCGCTTGCCTTCATTCGCTCCTCTAGACCTCCGCCATACCCCTATAGGCGCCCTTCTTTGTTATGTATCTCTTAATATATCCGGATACCCATTCCCCCTTTCAAGGGGATTTGCGAAAAAGTCATCTCCGTCCCGAAAAACCAGACGGGCAATTGTGCCCCGCGTGTACGTTTCATTCAACTCTTCCCGTGATACCCACCAGGAAAATTACAGCAATGGAATTCTTGTGTCATCTCTCTCTCTCTCTTTCTCCCTCTCTGGGACGAGGGACGGCGGAAAACTAGGAACATTATTTAGCGGAGGATATTCCCTAGGATTATTGGGTTTGTTTCTTGATTCATCTGCTAGAGGGTACCATGCGCTTTGTCAGGAAGGGCAATTTGCATGGGGCTGTTTCTTTTCTGGTTCCTTTTTCTCCCTTTCTTTTCTGCATTTACGAACTTCTGCCCATGCTTTTCGCTCTCTAATGGCCCGCTCGTTTCGTATCTATCCATTCCTGCAACCTCTAGCATTTCTAAGCATTTTTCAAGCGTTTTATTCCCAGCTTGTAACTTTACAGAAGGGTTGTGCTTTACGGTGTACACTCGCGCTCTCTTTTTCTCTTCAAGTGTTACACTACTACCATCGTTCAAAATGAAACCCCTATTCTATGAGAGTGCCGTGCAGCAGCTAGCCCCGTGATACCAAACAGGCGAAGGCGGTCCCAGGAATTGAGAAAAAGTTCGGGGTCTCGAACCCTTGAAGGTAACGTCGTAAAAGGTGGTGTGAGACAAGTAAGCCGGGACATTTTGATTTTGTTTTTACCAAGACTTCTTAGCTCATGTAGGCCATGCAAGCGATATGCAGGATAGGACCCAGTGATTGTCACAGGTCTTGCCTTTCTCGACATGATATCCCGAGAGGGTGGTGGGGGAGGGGACGATCCTTGACTACTGGACGACATCTCGACTTGGCTCCCTAGGACGTCAAGAAACAAAAAGAGTTCAGATGCCATATTTTTATAAAAGACGATGCAGAGTGCATGTGTGATGTTGTCCAGACAGTAACAACTTTTTAGAATTAGGAAGGCGTTGTGGACCAAGGGAGCTTGGGGAAGGGTCTTGTGAGGCGGCCCGTCGAGACATGCGCTTACGGGTGAGCGGTTGCAGCCGCTTGGCGCGCCTGGCACTTTGTGTGAAGGGAGAGAAAAGGGTGGGAGCTACTAGAGTTTACGAGTCTCGTATGGCAGTGGTGGGGAAACCCCTAGACCATTACTTTCCTTTTTTTTTTTTTTTATCTATCCATCTATCCATGGATCTATGGATACTGGTATTTATCACATGCAGTGGTGCGGTGGCGGTAGAGCAAGCATGAACCTTATCGGATCGATACAACTAGGACGGAGGGTGAAGGTACAGCTCAGGTCACGGACAAAAGCGACCCTGTGAGAAGCCTGTCTATGTGCTATCTTGGAGAGTAAAATCTTTTCTCTACTTTAGTTGCAATTGTCAAAAAGAGCCTGCGTGGCAGGGAGGGTTAGGATTTCAGGTCTAGGGGGATTTGGAACATGTGGTTAGGTTGAGGCTTTCAGTTGGAGCCCTCTCGTATTGCGCTTTTCACGAATGGATCAGCAGTTCGGTCGCCCTTCCGGCCTTGTTAGACAGGCAAAAAACTCGTTGCACCCTTTTTGTTTTCTTTTCCAGCGAGCCCCACGCACTATCGAAGCTGATCATCAACTGAGGCTTCGGAAGCTAGGTGGTTCCGAAAGAGATGACGAAAGGCGACATTCCAGGTGGGTCCTACTCCAATTGCTGGGAGTGACGTAATCCTGTAAGCTCTTTGGGGGCATTAAACCCTTTTGGACGGATGATTACATAAGGAGACAAGCTGAACATTGAGCCGAAGAATAAACGCCACAGCCAATCATCGTTGTCATTAAAATGTAGGTCTAAGGACGCGCCAGAACACGACAGGGTCGCGTAAAGAGCCCTGGTCCATTTCGGAGAGAGAGAAGGGCGCGTGTCGAGCCAGAATGCACTTTCCTTGACAACCGGAACCCGATTTCCACAGTTGAGGAAAGATCAAACGGCTCACGTTCACCCCACGAGATCACAAACCCCGACGAGCAATTCTCTGCCGTGTGAAGACTCAATTCTCGATTTAGAGCACCAAGTTTCCCGTCAACGAGCCGAATTGCTGACAGAAAGCGTTTGCCGCCTTGTCGATCGAACCTTGCTTCTCGTGATTCGAACTTTTTTTCTTCTTCACGGTCTTCTCATTCCACGGGGAGTTCGCGGCCCAAAAACTCGCGCAACAGCAAAACACCTTTCGATATCTTGCGAGAAACCAGACACACATCCTATCTACAAGCGCTCGCTGGCGCTGTAATCGGGAACTGAAAGAGATCACGTTTGTAAAGCCGGACTGGAGTGTTTGAGAGGCCTGGTTGGCCGCTCTGTCATGCCACTCCTCGAAATGTCGCCCAACGTGCAAGAGGTGGAAGGGGCGAAGAGGAAACGGAGTCATGAGGAGTACGTGTCGGAAGACGTCATCATGGGCGATGTTTCCTCTCTCAAGTCATCTGATGCCAATGGAGCCAACAATATGCCAACCCGTAAGCAACAAGACTAGATTTCTTTCCTTCTCTTCCCGTCCCTTTAGCAAGCCTCTTTCAACCGCCATCATGAGTGTGGCATCTTCGCTAGATGGTGTCTATCCTGTCAATGGGAATGGCCTCTGCGCGTGGCAAGCAACCTCGCGCCTCTTTTTTTTCGCAGACTAACGCCAAATCCGGCCCTCCCAGATATCTCAGTCCAACCTCGTTCACGTGAGGGAACCCCAGTATCCATCTTGACCGACTACGACTCGAGCCCGCCAAACAGTCCACCGCACAGTCCAAACCTAGCCTCAAGCGCTGGGTCGCCATCCGCAAATGCAATGGGATCGACAACCAATACTAACCCTCAGAAAGGGGCCGACCAGCCCGCGGCCAAGCGGAAGAAGCTGACGGCGGCAGAGAAGCAAGCCAAGGCCGAGGAGGAGGCGAAGAAAAGAAGGAGAGGGAGGATCAACGTCTGCAAAAATTAGCGGAAAAGGCCAAGGCGGACCAGGAGAAGCAGATTGCCAAGGCGGCGCGGGCGGCGGAGAAGGCCAAGAAAGACGCGGAAGAGCAAGAAGCCAAGGCAGCCAAGGCGTTGGAGAAGGAGGAGAAGAGAAAGAAGAAGGAAGACGAGGAGCGCAAAGCCAAGGAGGAGAAGGAGAAGAAGGAGCGTAGCCAACTGAGGTTGCAGTCATTCTTCAAAGCACCGGCCACGCCTAAAAGACAACAAGCGTCACCCCCGCGGCGAGCGATGCGACTCCGATCAAGGTAGAAGGTGGTTCGGCGGCAGCGTCCCCGCTGAAAAAGCAGACAAACGAGTACGAGCGCATGTTTCAGCCTTTCTTCGTCAAGGAGCACGTACGTATGGCGCAGCGCGCGGCGCAAATGGATAAAGAGACACTCGACGCCAAGGCACAGATACTCGACGAGTACGTGGAGGGTAGGAGAGGTACAGGGATCGAGGTCAGACCCTTCAATCCTGTGGAAGCCCTGCATCTTGCCAGGCGACCCAAGAGGATGGGAATAGTGTACCCTCCCGTCAGAGGCCTCATGGAGCAGATACAGAAGGACGATACAGAAGCCCGCGCTAAGCTCCGGGCGATCCCCATGAAGCTGCTTTGCTTCCGGCAAGACGTGCGCCCACCGTACTATGGAACGGTGACGTGTCTGCCGCACCATTTCGGACCCGCACGTCTACGTCGCGTGGCACGCCACCCGACGAAGCGCGTACTCGACCTCGAATACGACTACGACTCGGAAGCGGAATGGCAGGACGACGAGCCTGGCGACGACCTAGACGATATGGACGAAGAGGAGGAGGATCTCGACGATGAGGATGATATGGACGGGTTCCTGGACGACTCGGAAGATGCTGGAGTGGCGCGGCGCATCTTTGCCAATACGATGGAGCCTGAAAGCACGGGTCTATGCTTTGAGGATGAAAGGGGGTAGGGCCCTTGATGAAGCTCAAAACGCACAAGATGGAAATAATACTAGGTATGTCACTGACGCTCCTTTGTTTCTGCCTTCTTCCTGGCCAGAATACTGTTGCTAATTCGTTTTCTTTGTCTCATTATTAGAGGGCATTGATAGAAATTGCGGAATCGATCCCTTCTCAACGCAATACTGGGAGCCGGCGCCGAAACCCAAGACCGGGCCGTCCAAGGCCGCGACGTCCAAAGCCACGACGTCCAAAGCCGCGACATCCAAAAAGGCGATGCCACCACCACCCGCTCCGCCGAGCAACGCGTTCGAAGCCCTCAGCGCGAAATCTGGGACTAAACCTGGGGCCACGCCACAAGCCTCTACCGGAACATCCGGCCCCGCCACGGGGTCCCGATGCAGAGAAGCCGGCGAAGGCGGTGGACCCAGAACTGCTTGCAGAATTCAAAAGGCAGTGTTAGCGAATCAGAAACTGAGCAAGATGGCAATCGTGGAGGTCTTGAGTGTGCAGATTGACGGTCTAACCAAGGCAGATGCCAAGGTGATGCTCGATCAGGTCGCGGAGAGGAGGGGCCCGGGGAGGACAAAGGTGTGGGAGCTCAAGGATGACCAGTGAGCCTTTTGTGGAAGCGCAAAGGCGCAGAACTCATTCAGGCGTCTCCTATTTTTCTTTCTTCGTGGCCTATATTTCATGACTTGCTTTCTTCAAGGGGTTTCATCCGGGACAGGACATTGCGGGCGACAAGACAACCAAGGGATCTCATTCTGGCGCATCTACTCTTTCTTTTTCCTTCTGTTTCTCTCGTTCTTTTCACGAGCCCCTACTCGCCTTTTCGCTGCATATCTATAGGTGCTAGAGTATTACACTACCGGGCCATTTGTAGGCGCATGACGATGTGGAATAATTCAAAATGGATGATGACTTTTAACACCCCTACTCACCCTACTCACCCTACTCACCCTAATCACGAGTGATGTTGAATAGATGGGACGTCCTCTTTGAAAGCGGGTCGTTGTATTCTTGACGGCAGTGACGCGTTGAATCTTCTGCCCCGTGGGTGGCACCGTAGGGCCTAGAGATCGGAGCCCCTTGTCAAGGAATCCAGTGTTCCAACAAGGAAGGTTGCAGTGCTACGACCTACGATTGTGTTGGAAGGGGGCTGGGCGATGCTAACGTCTGGAAACCCCGCGCTCATGCGTTCCTGATGCGGGGGATAAGGTGGTCAAAGGGGGTGAAGGATCCAATTGAAGCAAGACATCCGTCGACAAGACGGAGCAGCTCTGCTCCATTGGTATAGGCCAGGCCAAGTCCACACTCAATGTTCCGGAAGTAGGACGGACCCCGCGATGAAGCTCTCACCCCAACCTGAAAGGGGGAAAATGGGGAAGACAGGAACAGAGACCAGGTAAAACACACGAAGCAGGGCGATGAGGGGCTGGTCCAATGGAACGGGTCAATTGGAAGCTGGGCCTTTTCGGGTTCCTTGGCGACCCTTTGTTCTTGCGCTGCTTCGCAAGATTTGGCGATGGAATACATACTCCCCGCACTGCATGCAGGTGATAATCCTCACCACCTCCGCTCTCAACATTGGACACAGGAAACAATTCCCAACCTTCATGGAGACTTGAAATATCAAACTTGAGAACTACTTTTTTCCCCTAGAAGGACCTTCGCCTTTTTTCTAAATCGTTTGTGCTCCTTCTTTTCCCTTTTAGCTTCTATTTTTCCGCGTCTTGGAAATTAGAAGAGAAAGAGAGAGAGGAAGAAACCGCCATTTCCTTGCGTTGAGTGAGTGTGTATGTGTGTGCGTCTCACTCGAGCTCTTAAATAATGTCGTCCACGGAGAACGCGGCCCCCGGCGCGGCGTCGGACCTCAGCGTCCAGTACGATACGCCCATGGGACTCGCCCACGGGACGATGCAGGCGCTCAAGGACCGGATCAAGTTGCACTATGACTTGGCGAGCGACTACTACCTCCGACTATGGTGAGTAAGTCCCGACCACACTGGCCCGGCCCAACCTTTGGCGGTCTTGCTTTCCCTCGAGAAAAAGGGAAGGGGGAAGGTTAGCGAGGGAAAGGAAAAAGGGACAAGAGAAAATATGGACTAGCCGACGACCCCGGATCGCTGACATTTCATCTTCTCTCCAAAAAGGGGCGAACACATCCACCACGGGTACTGGCCCACCGACGAGTCCAAAGCCACAGAGACCAAGGAAAAAGCCCAAGTGAACCTCATCGAGCTCCTCCTCTCCGGCGCCGGGCTCGCCCCTTCTTCCGCCGCCCCGGGACTCCGCGTCCTCGACGTCGGATGCGGCCTCGGCGGCACGAGCCGGTACTTGGCCCGCACGCTCGGATGTTCCGTCACGGGCGTCACCATCTCGACCAAGCAGGTAGAGATGGCGACGCGGCTCAGCCGCGCCGAGGCCGACAAGGACGCCAACGACAAGACTAAGGCAGCCGACGCCGATGATGGTGATTTCGTCCCCATCGGCCAGGGCAAGGTCCGCTTCCTCGAGCTGGACGCCGAGACGATGGGTGCCGAGTTCGGCGCGGGAAAAAGGGCCGCGAGGCGGACTTTGATGTTGTTTGGATCAGCGAGGCGCTGAGCCACATCCCTGGCAAGGATGCCTTCTTTCGAAATGCGTTTGCTGTGCTGAAGCAAGGGGGCACGCTTGTTATTGCGGACTGGTTCAAGGGCGAGGGTTTGGAGGAGGGGAATGCGGATATCAAGAACATTGAGGGTGAGTTGTTTTTTTCCCCAACGAGGGACCCACGAGAAAGGGAAGGGAATAAGGGCGCTTGTCGCGAGCTGGGAATGCTAACCTTGGCCCCTTCCTCTTCCTTCACAACCCGCAGACGGCATGCTCCTCCCGCCCCTGCACACGCAGCAAGGCTACGTCGACCTCGCCACGGCCGCCGGCTTCACCGTCCGTTCCGCGCCCAAGGACATTAGCGCCGACGTGAGCAAGACCTGGTAAGCTTCCCCTCGTCTTCCTTCTTTTCCCTCTTTTCCTCCCTCCTTTGTCGACGCCCCCGTCGCCCTGCTCGCGCCCCCTCTTTCTCCTCGTAGCTTCTTTTTCAACACAGCCCGCTAACGCAAAGGCCGGGAAACCTTTCTCTTCCCCGCGCAACGAACAACAGGGATATATCTTGGTCTCTCGTCCAGAACCCCGCCTTGTGGGCTTTCGCCCTCAGCCAGGGCCGCGACGGCATTGCCTTCCTACAGGCCTTTAGGGCTATGCGGAGGGGTTACGCCAACGGAAGCTTTAGGTACGCCGTCATGGCCTTCGCCAAGTAGGGGTCCCTCTTTTCGCTTCTCGGCGCCTACCTCTTCCTATTCTCGACGGCAGTCAAGACTCGCCGGCCGGATGGACGCAAGCGATCTAGAACGGTTACTATTAGACAAGATTCGGGAGGTGGAAACCCGGGAAAGAAATGCCTGTCAACGTGTTAAAAATGAGGCGCTATTATACATCATGATCCTCGTAGATACACATATACCCCCAACCAACCCAATATTGAACCAGCCTTTGGCAAGTTTAAAAACAAAATGATACGAGAATAGAACATCAAACGCCGACATATGCTATAATAACAGTCTCTCTCTTTCGCTCTCTCTCGCGGGGAGGCAAGCTCGTTGCCTACCCCTTCCCTAAGGCGTACTACCCATTCGTTTTGTTGCGCCCTTTACACGAGCATATAAGAAAGATCAGGCAGTCCAGCGAGTATCTTTCTAATCGCATCTTCCTCCTCGCCTGTAAGTTTGGGTTCCTTTACATCTATCTTTGGCGAAGGCTTGGAACTTTCAAAAAGGCTAGGTCGTTCGCTGAGATCCCCACGCTCGACGACTCAGAGACCGCGCCGGTTGACACCGCTGGCTGGTGTGGGAAAGCGGGGATGCCGGGTGCGACGCGGGTGAGGAAGGGAAGAAGGCCGGGGCATCGCTAGTCGGGCCTACAACAAGCGGTGGTTCGGCAAATCGAACGCTAGGCTTGGGATGGGAGCTACGAACGCTCCCATCCGGTGAGGCAACCGAGGTTGCCTTGGTAGACGACGAGACGGCAAAATCCACGCCAGAGTCGGGCATGGACGTGGATCCCCAACCCCACCCATTGGATGTCTGTGGTGAGGACACCATGTCGCCCCACTCCTCGTCGTCATCGCCACCGTCCTCCCTGGCAGACGTTTGCGGCTTCGCGTCTGATGAGGGATTGGTGGCCGGCATGGTGGCAGCAGGGGGACTGTACGAGCCGCCGATGTGCCGGTGGGAGGCGTCAGAGTGGGGAGAGGCGCCTCATAGGAGGCGCCAGTAGAAATCGAGAGAGGCGAGGGTTTGTGATTGGATTTAGGCACGGTTCTAAATTGCGCCGGGGCTGCCGGCATCGAAACTGGGCGGGCCTTGGGAGGCTCCCGGCCCAAAGACGCGAGAGGGGTCGGACCAGGTATGGCGGGCGGCATGTCGAGGCTTTGCCTGTGCACCCCGCTAGACTTTTGGTCTCATCCAGCGTTGTCCTCTTTTTGTGCAGGAAGCTCAAGTCGACAGGGTCATCGCTGCTCGACTGATTCCACCCAAACGTCGCCATAGACTTACCGCCAACCCCCTGTCCCGTCCCTCCGCGCGCCAGCCAAGGCGGGGCCTTCTTGCATCCAGCGGCGGACAATGACAAACGTTTCCTCGCTCACGGCAGAGCCACGCCAAGTCACGCGGCTATAGTTATCGTCATCGCCAAAATCGTGCAGGCGAGACGAGCCTTGCCGGGACAGATGGTACCACGCCTTGCGCTCACTGACGGTCGAGAAGTTCAAGTCCGGATGGTCTGGGAGGTCGGCAGGTCGGACGTCGGGTTCCTCTGCGACACCCTCAAAGAGTGTGGCGATCTGAGACATGTCGAGGACAAATTTTGGAAGAGGTTCGGGTGGGGCAGTGACAGGTGCCGCTATGGGTGCGGGGGAGGGGGTTTCTTTCCCAACCTCAAAATCCTCAGGCCAATCATCCCCAGATGATTCCTGTCGCCCGTCTGCCTCGCCGTCCCTAACCTCCTCCTCACCTTCATCACCTTCGCCATCATCATCTTCACTGTCGTGGTTACCCGAGGGGTCTTTTGGCTTCGTAGGTGGGGGTAGCGGGGGAGGGGTTCGTGCGTGGCCTTCTTGGCAATGCCATCATACATGACAACGAGTTCTTGCACTCTCGATGCCTGTCGAGATTGATCGCCTTGCTGCGTAGGTGAAGCATCGCGATGCTTAGGTATCACCAGGGTCTCCTCGGCCGGACCGGCATCGGACTCTGGATAGGGTGAAGAGGGTCGTGACGATTCGGCTTCAGAGGACTCTTCCGGGTCTTTCGAGTCTTCGTCTTCGTTGAAAATAACACTTCCGGTCGCGGATGGCGAGGGGAAGCAGGGGGTTCGCTGTCCGGGACATCCGTAGAGCGGTAGTCAACCGGTTCTGGAACACTGTCCTCCAGGGGGCTCTGTGCCGGCTTGTCGTCGGGAGTTCGGGGTTCGGGCTCGGGGTCGAACCTTCAAAGGGCGAATATGATATCTCTGCTGCCCATGGGTCTACATCGTGTGAGAAGGAGGTGAAACGAGGCGACGCGATTCCTGGCGCGGTGGTGTATCCAAAATCGGCGCCCTTGGATCCAATCCCGCCCGCGTCGCGTTCGTCGGTTGTAGTGAGGGCGCCATCATCGCCATTGTTCAAATCAGTCGAGGCCCAGTCGCCAAAACTATTGTCATCCCATACCGAGCCAAATTTGGCAGCGGAAACGGGCGCGGCGGTATGCTCAAGGGCCTGTCGTTTGGACTGGTCGTCATCGACAGTAGTCCAAGGGGAACTCCACGGATTCTCCATCTGACACCGAGATGAGCGCTCTCATCCTCGGGGTCTGGAGAAAACGGCCTCCTTGGTTTCTGCGCGGAGGCGTACGCGAGAGAGAATGTTTAAAAGCGAGGCTGAAGGGGTGAGCTAGGTAGCTTGCGGTTCGGCTGATTATGGAAGAGCTGTGTCGGCTATTTCAGGGTGATCATGTTTGTATCGATTGAACAAACAGAAAGGGATCGGGAGAGTCGGATGAGTTGTTTCTCTTATTTCGACGTGGAAACAAAAGAGATTCGTTTGTCCTTGGTCGCGTAGTTCAATCGGGGGTGTGGTGTTTTTGTGTCGGGCGAGGAAGAAAGAGATGCTCGCGGATCGACTTGGCAAAAGGGAGCGGGAAGGAAGCAAAAAGTGACTGAGGGTGACGTTGGATTACTTGTAGTACATTCCCGATTATCAGGGGAAACAAGGGAAGAAATTGACACGGTGCATGAAAATATCCCTGTACTATGACCACCACCGATCCGGAAAGGGAAGGAACATTGGTCAATGTCTGGGCCCGGTCCTGCCCTGGAGGCGTTAGCGCATGCGGGAAAGCCAAGAGCCTAGAACTGTAGAAGAGCCAGCATGAAGAGTAAGAACAGGCAACAACTGACTGGTTCGCAACTTCCCCGTTGCTAGTCTCAAGCCAACCATGATGACATTTCTAGAAATTCTCGAATTTCCAATTACTCAGCATCCCGGCTTCCACATAATGCTCCCCGCCTAACTTTATCAGCGTATCAAGGCCCCTTCAAAATGCCGCCACTCCGCTCATGGATATCGCTTGTTTCCTTTTTCAACGTATCTTTGCCTTGAGGGATTTGACGTTGCGCTCTCCTTCTCACTAGGTTTCCTTTCGGCGGTTGAGAGCGCGCTCAAAGTTTCACCATTGCCCGGTTCCTTTCAGTTTCATCTTCCGCTAGAAAAACCTGGGCCTAAGCAAGCACATCTTACAAGGGAGGGACAGCCCCACTATTAACCAACCTATCTCGAACTGAGCGGTCTTCCTGCGCGCCCGGCAAAGTAGCAAAGCATAAGCCATGTCAACGGCCAAGGTCAAGCACATTGTGCTCGTAAGTGCCTCATTTTCTTTTCTAGTAGTACTAGTTCTCGGCGCGACCATCCAGTCATGACCTCGAGGGCGCCGTCATTCTAATCTGACCCCAACAACCAGGTCCTTTCGGGTAAAGGAGGGGTGGGCAAGTCATCCGTAACTACGCAGCTCGCTCTCTGCCTCTCCCTTGCGGGCCACTCAGTCGGCATCCTAGATGCCGATCTCACAGGCCCCAACATCCCTCGCATGCTTGCCATCGAGGATGCCAAGGTACGCCAGGCCCCGGGCGGTTGGCTGCCCGTGCCCGTGCACGACGCGGACCCGGCGACGGGCAAGGCGTCCCTCCGAGCCATGAGCCTAGGTTTCATGCTGCGGGACAGAGGCGACGCTGTAGTATGGCGCGGACCCAAGAAGACGGCGATGATTCGGCAGTTCCTGTCCGACGTCATGTGGAGCGACACGGACTATCTGCTCATCGACTCACCCCCGGCACAAGTGACGAGCACATCTCGCTCGCCGAAACGCTCGCCAAAAATGCTCTGCCGGGCCAGGTCGCCGGCGCCGTCGTGGTAACGACGCCGCAGGCCATGTCGACGCAGGACGTGAGGAAGGAGCTCAACTTTTGCGCGGCGACGGGGATCCCTGTGCTGGGAGTCGTGGAGAACATGAGCGGCTTCGTGTGCGAGAACTGCGCAGACTGCACGGATCTGTTTGGCTCCGGAGGTGGGAAAGAAACGGCGGATGCGTTTGGTGTGCCGTTTTGGGCTCCGTGCCTATCGATCCGCAGTTTGGAGAGCTCGTAGAGTCCGGGCGGAGGCCAAGGTATCCCGCTGGCACGATGGCGGATGGAGTAGATATAGGGATGGCGGGAACAGAAGGCGCATCGGCGGCGGAGGCGGAAGCGGGAGAACAAGACGAAGGCAGGGACCCGGCTTTGTTGGCGGAGAGGTACAAGGATTGCTACTTATACCACGTGCTGAAACCCATCACGGAAAAGGTGATAGAGAATGTAGAGGCGGGTGCACCAAGGTAGATGGGCGGTCCGAAAAGAATAAACAAACACACACACACACACAGACACATTAGAAAAGCCGACGTGCATGTTCATGCCATATGGGGCTAGGATGTGTTTATCTAATACTGTGCATCGTTTTGATTTCTTTTCCCATACTCCCTTCTCATCGGAAAAGGACTACTTCGACCAATTCTTTAAGTATTTCGAGTCAAGGCAGGAAAACCAATCACCTAGCCATCTCGTGCGATATGGACGTTGGGGTGTATGCTATTTGGCAGACTAACAAAGGCATACTAACATTGATGTAGCTCCCGCCACAGTCGCGCACACGCACACGCACACATACACGGAGGTAAGCGGCCGATGCTCAAGATACTTAATTAAATGGGCACCTCCTCGGCTGTAACCGCAGGCGGGCCGGTGAAAAGGCTTGTCTCTTTTCCCTGGCCAGTCACTTACTTGAGACTAATCATTGATGTCTCTTGATGTGATCTGATGCTCGGAAGTCTACCTTTTTCTTTTGAATGGGCACTTTTGCAGGCTCCCTCGGATCTTATGTTGCGAGGGTTTTTTCCTGCGCTTTCTCCTTGCTCTCTTTTTATCATCCTAGTTCCAGTGAGAGAAATCCAGCACCTCTTAAAAGATAGTCCGAAGGACATGTCGGGAGCGGCTGGCGGTGACGCGGTTGGGTTTGCGACAAACCAAGCCCAGACAAGCCGGCCAGGCCATTAGAGTTGTACCAATGGGCCAGTGCGCCGCGAGTGATTTTCTTTCTCTTTTTCCCCCTGGGCGCCACTGAGCCAGGGGGTATACGCGGGTGGAATAAACGCGCATGAGGGGTTGGTGGGGTCCATTTCGGAATCGAGCCCCTCAAACATCAACAGCGATGCATCCGTCTCTCCATAAACCCATGGATGGATGCATCCATGCAGAGGATACATCATTGATGTAGGGAGTTCGTTGCCGATATTCCTAGGTCTTTTGAACCCGCGATTGACCATATCAAGGCCATGGCAGCTCTAGAATTTGTAAAGGGTTCAGCTATGAACCAGCACAGTCGACATATTCGGATAGAACTTTGAAGCTTCGTCGAGCACGTGTGACATCGGCGGGGTAGCTCCTTCCTTGCGTTTGCAACAACAGTTTTGAGGCCTCGGCCCATCAAAAACCGCCTTGCGCTCGAAAGCAGATGAATCTCTATTATGTAGCTCAGTACAAGTACAAGATACAGAGTGGAAAAGTGGAAGGCGCCAGCCAACTCCTCAACGGCCCGGAAGGTACGTACTGAGTGAGGTTGTTGCCCTGGAGGCCCACATAGCGCACTTGATCGAACAAGAAATACAATCGGTCCATTCCCGTCAAGTCAGGAAGGAAGAAGCGGGTAAGAGAAAAGAGGAAAGAGGGTTGCGTCGTTCCACCAAGCTTAGGAGGGAAGGAGGGGCCATGAACGCGGGCCACGGTGCATAGGAAAAAAATTTGACGAACTTCCAATTCACTCAAATAATTTTTTTCCGTCGTCACCAGGAGAGGAACCAAGAGGGAAAAAAAGAACTCCCCTTCAAGACCTCACGCTCTAGTTCCCACAACACATTTCATCTTCCAATTTCGTTCTCCTGTCCTTGACCAACTTTCTTTTTCCCTTCCGACCAGGAGATCTAGCATACCCAGGCTCGCAACGCCTCTCTCCAAACCTTGGCGAAGCCAGGTACCTTCATCCAGTTCGAGATCCTAGTGACCTCTCCACGCCGCCGAATCTCACATACACGCACACACACACCAACAACAGCGCAAACCAGAAGGCCAAGCCATCCAAGGCCCCGCCCGAGCCGACTTGTGCCCTCAAACGTCCCCTTGCTATATACCACTCTCCTTGCTGCCTCGACTGATTCCAAAAACGTCGACTCGATCAATTCAGACCCGGTTGCTCATCCCTTTCCTACAGTTCGTTTCTCTACCATCAAATATCTCGACCCCGCCACAATTCGCACCGCTCTATCCCCGCGACAGATAATTCCCGGATCATCTTGTGTCACGAGACCCAAGCAAGACTTGAACGAACGGCAACAACCTCACCACCGAGTTGTAGCTACTCTTTATGAGCCCGAGGGACATCCTTCGGTTCTTCTCCAAGCCCCGCAAGTATGTGCCCTGTCTTTTACTCCAGCTCCTTGGCGGATCCTCACAATATTCTCTTCGCGCCAAGCAACCCACGTTCCCGTCGTCGCCCTGCGCCATATTGTTGCTAACTTGGAAGCTGTAGGCCCCGATAACACCCTTTGCGCCCACAAGTTTCCTCATTCCAAGCGTACCTCCGCCGAAGAAGTGCAGCACTCGCAGCTCGACCCGTTTCAAGAGCTTTTCGAGTTTTCTCCCAGATAGCCTCGTCTGCTGGGCCCGATACTCCACCACAGGTATCGGTTTCTGCAAGAGCGAGGTCGCCCCTCGATCACCATTCCGTCGTTCAGAGACGTCTTCCTCCCTCTTCGCGGTCGACCCCCATAACGTCCCTTGCCAAAGAGACGTTTAGCTACCCCATTCGAAATCTGTAGCTGGCACCGCCAGCACTTACCCATCCCAACGCCTCCTGTGGGCCTGCTCTCTCAAACGGACCCCGCATAGTTCGTTTGAGCGGCAGCTAGTGCTCCGCGGAACCCAAGAAAAAGGATTCGTCCTCGATCTGAAGTCTGCCGAGTCGCGTACGATCCTCTCCACAAGCGCATCGACAAAGCAGCCAATCAAATCTTTTCGTCTCCCTTCCGAGCCTCGTGAGAGATTTGCTGCCCCCGCTGAACCTTCCTGAATAGATAGCGTTCACGCCTCATATCGCTAGCTGAAAGAAAGAGAGAAAGCCGGCATCATGGTTACCCTACCAGTCCCCAACAGCTACACTCTTTCAGCCTCTCATGGCACCCCCAGCTCACTATCAACCACGATGTAGCCACCGACCTTGACTCCACCAATGCCTTTGAAGGTCCCGAGAAGCTTCTGGAGGTGTGGTTTGCCCCTAGCCCCACCGATCTACCACCGAGCGCCCAGCCGACCGGCCTCAAGGCTGTTTCGCCCGAAACTTGGAAGGGCATGCTGGATATGGTCAACTGCGAAGTCTTGTCCGTGCTTGAGTCCGACCATGTCGACGCATATCTCCTCTCCGAGTCGAGCATGTTCGTCTTCCCTCACAAGCTGATCTTGAAGACATGCGGTACCACCACCCTTCTCCTCGGCCTTCAGCGCTTACTTCACATCGCCGCCGTCGATGCCGGTTTCCCGTTCCACAACGCCAAGGCTGCTACCGAAATCAAGGCTGCCGCCACTCCCTACCGCTTTTTCTACAGCAGGAAGAACTTTTGTTCCCCGACAAGCAGCGCGGACCCCACCGCAGCTGGAAGCAGGAGGTCAAGTTCCTCGACGACATCTTTGAGGGCGGCAGCGCCTACATGGTTGGCAAGATGAACGGAGACCATTGGTACCTATACCTCATCTCCCCTCGGCAGCCTTGACCCCACCGGTAACCCCTGATGAGGAAACGACCAAGGCGCTCACCGGCGCTCCCCGCGCCACCAAGATTCCTGCCGGTATCAGCCACTTTGTGCCGTCCTCGGCCGAAGAGGCATGCGACGAAACGCTCGAGATCCTCATGACCGACCTCGATCAGGAGAATGCCAAGCAGTTTTATCTATCCCACGCGAGTGCGGTCGCTAGTGATAGAGAGAGTGCCGCCGCTGCCCAACAGCAGAGCGGGCCAACTGCGGGTACCGAGAATGACCTCGGCGAGGTTGTCGATGTTTTTAGCAATGGATGTGAATCCGACCTCCACGACCACGCCAAGCCCGGCTCCGAGGCCCCCACTACCACAGAGGGCCATACCCTAGGCACCGTCGTCTCGGACAACTCGGGGCTCTCCTCCATCTACCCAAACTCGGTTTACCCCGATGCTAGGATCGACGCCTACATGTTCAGCCCTTGCGGATTCTCCGCCAACGGAGTTGTTCCCGCCCCGCCTAGCGCCAAGGATGATGCCGAGGGTGGCGCGAACGGCGAGGCCGCCAACGCGGCTGGGGCTACTCCGAGCGCGGCCCATTACTTCACTGTCCATGTTACGCCCGAGCCTAACTGCTCGTTCGCTTCATTTGAAACCAACGTTCCCAGCAGCCCCCACGGGCGCAGCACCGCCGAGATCATCGAACACGTAGTTAACATTTTCAAGCCCGGTCGCTTCAGCGTCACCCTGTTCGAAGGCGCCGGCAAAGGAGAGAATACGGCTGGCAATGACGAGAGCCTAGCCCTTAGTCGCCGCAGGCACATCACCAGGCACATTGAGCCCGTCCGTGGGTATCGCCGCGTTGAGCGTATCTTCCACGAGTTTGACGACTACGATCTTGCCTTTAGGTACTACGAGCGCGAGGGTTGGAACGGCGCAGTCGGTACTCGCGTGGGCGAAGATGACTAAACTGAGATGGAGGGTTTTCCTTTGAAGCGCACAGGGTCCTTCCTTTCCCCTCTACAAGCCAGTCGTGCTTGCCTAGCCTTTACAGGCGGCTATGCTCTTGTTTCTATCTTTATTTCTATGATGAATGATCTGAAATTTTGTCTTCTTCACACTCGCTACGTCTTTGCTGATTTTGCGAATGGCTCCGGGCATGGGGGTCAGAGGTGTTGTTCAATCACTCCCAATATCTCGCGAGCTAGCATGTCACAAGAACCCGTGCCTAAGTTGGGTTCTGATGTTATCATTCTATGACGAATTGATCTTGGTCTCGATCTGAAATTGAAAATTTTTTTCATGTTTGATATAAACGGATCTACCGTGATATCCAAGAATGGGTTCCTCTACTCATAAACCTAGAGAACGACGAACCATAAAACAGAAAACCCGACCCGACGCTATTCCCGACGCTATTCCCACTTATAAAGAGTAAAGAGTAAAAAGAAATAGGAAAAAGGAAAAAAATACAATCTATCTCATTATTAAGCAGCTCTGCATTTTCGCGTTTCCGTCTTCTGTGTTTCCTTACTCGTCCCAAACGAGCTTCATGGTTGAGGGTACAGGCCAATATCCGCTCTGGTCGGGCGTCATGTAGGTCCTCAGGCCGGTCCAAGCGCCCTCCTCGGCGCGGGCCTCGTCCGGCCTCCGCTGGCCCTTCCACTTGCGAGCGGGCATGCTCTTCATGCGGCCGCGGTCTCCGCCGGCGCGACGGAGATTCTTGAGGCCGACGATTTGTTTGAAGAGAGCGGTCTGGGCGACCATGGAGAGCTCCGCACCGGCGCACCTATGGGCGCCGAATCCGAAGTGGATGTAGGAATCGATGGGCCGGTCGAGGCGAACGGTCTCCGGGTCGGGGAAGACGCGGGGATCGCGGGAGGCGGAGGCGAAGGAGAGGAGGAGGCGGTCACCGGGCTTGACGGGGATGTTGAACTCGGGGAACTCGGAGGCCGTGACGGGGTTGACGGCGGTGGGGTCCGCGGGGTCAGGGTGAGCGGGGGCGGAGTCGGGGATGGTGGTGGCGTGGTGGACATCTCGGTAGACGGCGACGGTGCCGCGGATGCGGGAGCCTTCGAGCATGCTGTTGGGGGTATGGTTAGCGAATGGTTCCGAGAAGAAGAAGAAGAAAAGTGGTGTTAGGACTTACTATCTCATGAGCTTCTCGTCGGCCTCGTCCGTGTTCTCGTGCGCGAGCCTATACAGCTCCTCGAGGTGGTGCTTGTTCTCGTCCTCGAGGTAGAAGTCGACGCACTGGGAGAGCAGGGCGGACTGGTTGGGGACGTTGGCGGAGATGAGGGGATGATTGTGCTCCAGACGCACTCGTCGACGGACTTGCCGCGCTGGAGGAGGTGGCGGATGAGCTCGTGGCCGTAGCCGGCGATGGCGGGAAAGCCCTCGCCGCGCCAGTAGCCGCGGACGGTCTCGACGGCGTCGGTGATGGCGCCGACCTTGTCGACGGCGTGGGCGGCGACGGCGACGAGGCGCTCGATCTGGTTGGCGAGGTCCTTGGCGAGGGTGCGGACGTGCAGGCTCTTGGAGATGTCGGCGTCGAAGAAGATGGAGGAGAAGATGGCGGTGGTGGCGAGGTAGAGCTCCTGCTCGGTCAAGAGACCCCAGGGGTTGTCCTCGATCTTGATGGGCAGGTTGAACATGGCGGCGCAGAGGCGGGTGTTGGCGAGGTTGATGATGTCGCGGACGACGTCGACTTCGTGGGTCGTCTTGATCGTCGTCTTTTTCTCCAGGGCAGCGCCAGTGCCGTTGGAGGAGGGTGGCTGCTGGTTCTTGACCGGGCGCTCCCACGAGTGGCTGTACTTTTGAGCAGCACGGGCACGACCTTGGCGTAGAAGCGGGCGACCTCGGTCTCCCACGCGTTGGGCTGGTAGAGGGCGTTGAGGACGATTTTGCGGTTATCGGCGTTGACCTGGCCGTCGGCGGCGAGGCAAAAGGAGGCACCGGGGGCGTGGCCGTCCTTTTGGGTGAGGAAGCGGATGGCGTCGCCCCAGACGACGGTGTAGTCGCGCTGGTTGGCGAGGACCTTGGTGATGGCGCTGTGGGAGCGCAGCAGGACGAGGTCACCGGTGGGGAGGGGACGTCCCAGGAGTAGAGGTGGTCCTTGCCGATCTTGGCCAAGATCTTTGCGTTCTCCGAGGGCACGGTGAGGGGAAGTGGGCGTAGACGCTGTCGCGGCGGAAGTGGTGGGGAAGGCGCGGTAGACGAGCTTGTAGAAGACGTGGCTGTTGTCGACGGCCGGGTCGTAGCTGGCCTCGTTGTAGCCCCAGTTGGTGAGGTGTTTGGGGGTGTAGTCGACGGTGTAGAAGCGATCACCGCGGACGAGGGCGACGGCGTCGGACAGGATGGCGCGGCTGGTGGTGAAGTTGACGCACAGGCCGCTGCCCGGGTCGATGGGGGTTTGGCCTTTTCCACGACGAGACCGGGGTACAGTTCGACCGAGTCCGGGGAGTCGTACAAGTTGCGCAGCTTGCGGGCGACGTCCGGGTCCGGGTTGATGTCCTCGAACGTGCGGTGGCGGGTGAGGCCGAAGAACTCGCGAAACTCGTTGAGGGTGGCCACGTTCCACTTGCGGGCCTGCATGATGCCGAGGACCTCGATATGCTTGAGCACGGGCGGGACGCGATTAGCGCCAAAGAGCCGGCGACGTCCTCGACGCTCTCGCGGAAGATGCGGACGAGGTCGTCGTCGGGCAAGGTGCCGTCGGCGCGGCGGGCGACCTTGTGGAAGGGGCGCTGGGCGGGGTCGTCGGAGAGGCGCGCCTCGAAGCCGTGGAGCTTGCGGAGGAAGTCCTCGAAGCCCATGGCCTCGGCGTCGTCGGTGCCGAGGATCTCTTCAAAGGCGTCCTCGGTCCATTTCTGGTCGCGCGGGGACACGGTGCTGTGCCAGCGGTAGAGGAAGTTGAACTCGACCGAGACTTGGTTGCCCGTGGCCTCGGCGGTGGGCTTGCTGAAGATGTTGTGGCCGTCCTTGATGCGCGGGTCGAGGGCCCAGGCGGTGTCGGAGCGGTTGACGTTGAGGATGGTGCGGACGTAGTCGCGCAGGATGATGTTGATGTAGAGACCGCAGGTGACGAGGCGGCCGGTTTGGAAGAGGTCCTCGTCGTATTTGGCGAGGGCGGCGGCGCGGATTTTAGATTGCTCCTCGGGGGTCTTGCCGGCGAGGTCTTTGGCGAGGGTCTTTTTGGAAACGACCGCCTTCGTTGATTCTAGGGATGAAAAAAGGGTGTTAGTGGATGGATAGAAAAGACATGTGCGTGGGGAGGGAAACCATCTTACGCTGCGAGTTGAGTGACTACGTAGTTGTGGAACCTGTTAAACATGATGATGAGGACGCCGACGCCGGGCGGGAAGCCGTGGACCCTCTTGGAGGAGAAGCAATCGGGCTTGAGCCGACCGCCCTCCATGGCGCGAACTTGCACCTGCTCGTCGCGGTTGCGGCCGTAGAGGGGCGCGAGGTCGAGGTAGGAGGAAGTCAAGTTGACGCCGCTGCGCTGGCCATCGGACTGGAAAATGTCGTGCGTAATAATGGTGGCCAGGTAAAACAGCACACTCGAGATATTGTTCGGGTGCGGCTGGAACCCTCGCCCCTGCGCAGCAGCGTATCGAACAGCAGGCTCGGCTCGGGCGCATCGGGCCGCTGGTAAGTCAAGGGCCGGGTGGTCCTCACGTAGGGGTACCCGCGGCGCCGAGCTGGGGCATGTACAAGTTATTGTTGGAGCCGTCGGCCTCGCGGTAGCGGAACCCCTCGTCGAGGGTGGTGAGAACCGGGTGCTGGAGGGAGGACCACAGCTGGTGGACGAGGCCGCTCTCGAGGGACTGGCCCTCACGCGAGGTGGCGGGCAGCTTGGACAAGAGGTCGACGACGCGCTCGAGCAGCAGCTTGCTGTCGTCCTGGACGCCGTGCACGGCCGTGTGCAGGAACTCGAGTAAAGTTTCGACGTCCTTGAAGCCCATCTTTGCACGTCCTCGAGGATGCCCGTCGTCGCGCTCGTGTCGGCCGTGTTGCCGGCCGTGGAGTAGGGCGTCTTGGGGATGGCGGAGAAGGAGCGGAGCACGGCTTTCGCGACCCAGGAGAGCCGTGTGGGCAGGTCTGGGGAAGCAGTTGCTGCTGCTGCCGTTGTCGACGAGGACAAGGACGGCGACTTGCTCGCTGCCGTGGCGGTGGTGGCTTGGCTGGCGAATTCGGATGAGGTGGATGCGGGTGAGGGCGGTATGGAGCTCACGGTGGGTTGGAGGAAGCCGTTGGCTTCGGCTTTGGCGCTGTACGGGCATTGCGCGGGGCCGTTGCCGTTGCCGTTGCCGTTGGTGTGGTGGTGACCGTTTGTCTTGCCGTTGGGGAGCCGCCGCTCAAGAGGCTGAAGAGCTTGTCCGACATGGCTGCGTGTGTGTGTACGAGATCTATATATATATACCCGTGTGTATGTTGGGAGCGTTTGCGCCGTAGGAGAGAAGCTCCGAGCTCGACGGGGAATCAAACAAAATCAAGTCCAGGAACGGTGTAGAGGCTAAAACAAGCGGAACGATGATAACCGGTATCACAGAGGTGCGCTTGCTCTCGTAAAGGAGCAAGGGAAAGGGAGGATAGTGAGAAGAAACTGGGTATATGAAGAGCAACTAGTGAAAACGAGTTGCAGAATTCTCCTGATATCAAAAACAGCACGAGGGGTTGTGAGCTCGTGATATCTAGCACTCGGGTTGCAAGACAGAGGGAGGAAGAAGAGCACAGGAGGTGAGATGGATAAAAGTGGTTCAAAAGGGTGCTTCAGCGTGCACACAAAAAGAGCTTCTCTATTAGATGAATGTCTGGAGAGAGAGAGAGAGGAAGAGAGGCAGAGCTAGTGAGGCTGGAGAAGATTTAAGAAGAGAGCTCGAGGAAAGGGGAAAGGGAGAAGGTGAGGCCGGGTCTTATATTATACACAACCACAGCCGCGCGATGATATCCGCTTTCGCCCATCTCGATATCCACCCAATCCATCCTCTCCATTATCACTGACCGACTTGAGGAAAACCTACAAGGCGTATTAAAATAGGTGGATGCCGAAAATGGTCAAATACCCTTCCTCTCCTACTGCCACACCCCCTCCCTTTCCCCTTATCCGGTGGGTACAACCAACGAAGCTATGCCGGAAAAAGAACCACGAGGACAAGGGGTGCGCCGCCGGGTGAGAGAGAGACAGAGAGACGAAGAAAATCGTGTTATGTACGTGCTGTGCTGACGCGGGAAGGTCTGGGTCCGGGCTTAAGCCTCGTCCCTAGTCTAGAATGGAGAAATGGGGGCGGAAACGGGGAGGCGGAGGCATAGGGGAAGGGAAGGGGGGAGGGGTGCGTACGAGGAGGCGGAAGCAAAGGCAGGGGTAGGGTTGGGGGAGGGAACAATGAACAGACCAGAAAACAAAAAGCCGCCGACCCAAAGTCCGGCAAGAGAGAGAAAAAAGTCAAGCAGTTCAGTTGGTGTTGGTGCGAGATGGAGGCCGAAACGGCGGGGAAGAAAACATGATGCTAGACAAGGCAGGCAGCGAGAGAGTGAGTGAGAAAGGTGAGAGGAGTATGCAAGTAAAGTGAACACAGCCCGAATCACAAGGGCATCATTGGGGAATGAAGCGCATCAGCATCATACGTTGCCCCAGAGGTGTGTATTCGTTTTTCTAAGGTTAGTCGATGCCGTCACTGGCTCACTGGTCATATCACAGGAGGTAAGAAATTTGATCAAAAGGAGGGTATCCCCGAAGGAACAGTTGATTTCCCTCTCTCGGAAAGCATGCAATGAATGGCAAGAGCAGGAACCCCCAAGAAAAAGAGCCTTGTCCCAACGTTCCATGCCTTTTCACGCAGTTTCCCAAGGGGCACGAGGAACGACGCGGGAATACGCAGAAGAGCTGCAGGGCCGCCCGGACAAGTCCGATGTTTCTTCGCAGGGCTGACAGGGGTGGGCTTGTCGAGTACTTCTGCAAGTGCACTCCTTGGAAGTAGGAGGAATAATAGAGCGTCCCCCGCCCCAATCCATTGGCTCAGTGTTTTTTTTTTTTTTGTTGTCATCCTTCTTTCCATGGGGTCCCAATCAGACGGTCTCGAGGACGGGAAGAAGGGCACGTCAAAACCCCACCAGACGGTTGAACCGGCGGAGCGAAAGGGGAGAGGGACGAGGGAAGGGGGAAAAGAGTGGGATCGCTTCTCGCCAATGCCACTCCGCCTTTTTGCGATGGTGACCAAGCGAACCAATAATTGCCTCGATTTGGCCAGGAACCCCATGCTCAGCCTTCCTGTGCTCCCACACATGCTTCGGTCTTGACTGTCCTGGATTTGCCTGGCTTCTCCCAGGGCAGAGACAATGGCCCAGGTGGGGTACCCATTATTCCATTGTTGCCGTTGTTGCCATTGTTGCCATTGTTCTTTGTTTCGGTTCACCACCACCCTCGCCCTTCTCCATTTCTCCCTGTCTCTCTCTCTCTCTCTCGCCCTCCTCCGCTCGCCTCAGAAGCATATCATGAAACGAAACAAAAAAGAACAGAAGAAAACAAGGCGGGGCAAGGAAGGGAGAAAAAGTCAAGGGACAGCCATTTGCAACTCTACGTGTGAGGCCATGGGGAAGGGAGGCGGAACTTGGGAACCTACCTTTCAATGACCATCCAGAATGCTACAAGTAGTGCATAATCTCGAGAGTTGACCAGTGAGAGAACGTGAATTGGGTTTTTGCACTTTCCTGACTCTCTTGCCCTGAATCCAAATCTAGCACAACGGCATGGTATCATAAACGACCGCCCTATTACCCTCCCTCTCCATCCGTCGGTCCCCCACCCTCCAACCAATGCTGTCAACTTCTGGTACCGCACGTTGGTTCGCGATGTGCAAATCGCTTCCAACCACACGCCAACCTTGTCATCAGCACGGAACGCACCCTCATTGGCTGGCGAACGAGGACGCCGGTCTTTTTTTGTGGGAGGGGCTTCTTCCAACGATTTCATTCCCAAAGGGCTGAGGCGGTGCACCTTGGCTTGAGGGGGACACTTGGAAGTTGCTGACCGGGAACGGATGGACCCTGTGCCGTCAGGCATTTGCATTTGATCATCTTTTCTTCTCGTCCTTTTGGGGGAGATGGCGAGGACAAGAAAGTGACGGATAGCTAGGGAGGCATGGCGGAGTGGAGAGAGTGTCCACTCACGGCACTAGCAGTCCCTCCTCCAACTATTCCCACCCTTCCCATTTCAGTTGCATGCTCAGCTCGCCCTCGGGCGAGCTAGGAGACGATAGTTGGCACCGTCAAGGTGTGTTTTGGGGCAACCGCGAACCCGCCACCGCGGGGATGCTCACAGCCCACGCGGATAGCGGCGGGCAAAGACACACTCCCGCAAGTCGTCAACGTGATGAAGGACCAGGGGAAAGCTTTCTATCACTTCGGTACTCCCTCCTTCCTTCCCCCGAAATGGGTAATAAGTCGCTCTGGATTGGCCAGCTCGCCTCAATTTGATAGCGTCACCGGCAATCGAATACACTATTTATTACCAACCGACTAGGGTTGGAGGCTAACAAGTAGAAGGGGGCGTGACAATCACCGGGAGGATCAGAGACGGCGGAAAAAGCCAGGCCCAAACCTGATCCGGCCAGGGTCTAGCGCGCGGAACGGTTACAATGTGGCTCAGTCGAGCAGCGCTGTGTTCAACTTGTGGTGCCCGCGCGTGGCCCGAGCAACACGACATCGAGCTTGAGTGATATCGATCCCCCAAAAGCCAAGTTCCACGGCCGGCAAGCCACACCGCAGCGGGAACCTATTTTAGGGGAGGACCAACACCGGCCCCAGGCAAAAGAAAGCGACAGATCTAGGCTCGCCGCAACATCGCCATGCCTTCCCTTCTATTCTTCGCCCAGGGCCAACATCGTCATTGGTAGCAAGAGAAACGGCCCGTCTTTGCTGCGCCCCGGCGTACAGCCTTGCTCCTCTGATCCCCCATCTGATAGCCCCATCTGATGGAAAACTTGCTGGAACAACGTTCTTTCATTTTTTCGGTTTGATTCCAGAAGGGAAGCAGCCAATCCCAAGAACGCCTCGTTTCGCTTCACGGGCCCAGAGATTGGGGGTGTTGGGCGTGTATCTGGTGTTTCCCGCTCACGCACGATAGTTCATCCCTTCCATCCTTCACAAGTACGGAAAAACTACCAAGACGTCGTCCGAAGTCCGAAGCGGCATAGTCTAGGAATTTTAGGTTATTGTGGGCGCCGTTAGATCACAAAGCCAGCATACTCGGTTGTTTCAGGGAGCCACCATCCCGTAGCTAGTAGCTCTCCCTTCTATACAGCTCGTAAGCTTCCAGGCCACCAAAGACACTGCTCTCAAGCTTACTCGAAGAGGAGCAAAGATACGAGGGTCCGATTTGTCTCAATCGCAATCATGAGTACCAGAGGTGCTTCTTTTCATGCATCCATGTATCACAGATAAATCCTGTTGTGATGTTGTAAATCCAAGAAAACTGTCTCCAAGTTGGCATTCGCGCGTGTTACCCAACTTTCCGAGGAAGAAAGAAAGCCTCAATGATGCGCACCATGGCGAACCGCTCACTACTCCGCAGCGAACGCCGGCTATCGTTTTCCGTCTTTTAGACTCCAGTCTCACAAATACGAACATCGGAGAGAATCTCGACGCCGCCATCCACCGCAGTCCAGATCGATACCCGAGATCTCGAAATAGTACCTCTCGGATCATTGTTCCGTTCCACAAGCTCAGCCATCTCAGCGCTAGGCCGCAGCGCTTGATGCATCCACCCTTGTGTCCTTCCCCGAACACACCTGGTAGAGATCGGGATAAAGCAAGGGAGAGGAATGGAGAGAAGGAATAGCCAAAGGTAGAAGAGATAAAATTTTGACTACCATATCAATCTAGTAGGAGAGAGTTCGCTCGGTGAGAGAGGGAAGAAAAAAAAAGAGGAGGACAAAAGAAAATCCAGTGCACTATCCCGGAATCGAACCGGGGCTGGTCGAATCTATCGGAAGATGGCAACGACCAAGTTTACCACTAACCCAATAGTGCTTCTGATTGGTGATAATGAGACAGCATTCACGGATACATAAATCCCACTCCTTCATGGCAAACGACTCCACTCTTCAAGTCGTCGTGAGATCCGACATGTTGGAAACCCGGATGCAGTCCGAGTAGGATTAGATAGTAGATGGGCTCGCAAGGTTCAAGGTGCTCTCTATCCACGAAAGAAGTCCTACCCGCAGGACGCCTCAAAAGTATGAAAATGGTTCAAGATAGAATGAGAAAGAGCCCTCACAATGTA